CCGCCATGTGATTGGCTGATTAGAAATTAAGTGTTGACGAGCAGTTGGACAGGTGTACCTAATAAAGTGGCCGGTGAGTGTATATATATATATAATTTTTTTTACTAAATAAAACCTTTACCTGTTGACAGCTGTACATGATATCAAATCATTTGCACCAACACATTTGTTTTTCTTTTATCTGTTTGAAATTAATCTAACATATGACATTTTTATTGCCTCCTGTATCTACCATTTACTGTCAAACTGAAAATAGTTTTAAATATATAAAAAAGTTAAATTATTTAACGTAAACAAGACATTAGTGATTATAATAAATTTTGCTACTTAAATATTTTACAGTAGATAATAATACAGTGTTGAAAAGTTACAGTAAACTTTGTTTTGTCTTACAGGTATTCAAAACACATTCTTTACCAGCGCAGTATAATCTGTACAATTTTTTTGTAATGTGACAATGTTAGAGAAATATGAAGGTAATTGGAGATTTCGTTTGACTTTTAGCCTGTCAGCTGTAAGTTCACCTTTTATACTCTTAAAAAAAGAATCCGTAATAAACTGAATGTTAAAAAATTATAGCTTCTACATTTTTTAATTAAATGTGGTGATTTTAGAATGGTGCTGTAAAAAAACACAATGAAGGCAAGTTTTTAAAAATAATGCTGTCACTGATACAGAGATTAGGTCAAAGTAATCTAAGAATCTGAAGAGGTTATTTAGAGATGAAGCTGTTACGGAAAAGTGAAACATGTAAATGTCACTATAAGTAAACCGTATAACCCTTGTACATTCATTTTTCAGTATAATACCAGTAAAGAAACATTTTGTGAGCTGAGAAGAGGAAACCATGCACTGAGCAGCTGCAGAGGCAGAGAGGAGGACCGTAACATCTGCTTTGACAACCATGAAGAGATGTGGAAAATTTGAATGAAATTATTGAGATCTTAGATCTGAGCTGCTGTCCGTGTCGCAGCAGCTTCTCACAGTGACGTGTAGATAAAACACCATTTTCTACAGGATTCACAGGAAAAAAAATAACTTCATCAAAAATTGTGGCTGTAAGCAGAGAATGTATACTTCCATCACTTACACACAATTCACATTTTGAGTCTTAAGAGGAAAATTTGTCACAACAAACAGCAAACAAAAATGTTCTGATAACATTATGTGAAAATATAAAATTTTAAACATATACTTTAGTAAGCTGAATATGTGCAGAATGTAAAAGTTAAATGTTAAAGGGATCCATGATTAGTTGTAACATTAGACTTTATTTAATCAACATATATTTTAACTGTAAAATAAAGACTGTAAAAATAGATGTTTAGTTTTGTAAATTAAAAAAATATATATTTTAACACGGATGGAGCCATTTTATTTACACGCAAAGCATTCTGGGTAAATGATGACGTGGATAGGTCCTCGGTGTGAGC